AGTCTGCTTTTTATTAGCGCTCGGTCACAAGGGCGTCCTGGTGGATTTGGGTTTTAAGGCATCTCTCTCTCTCCACATGTTTCCTCTCCACTGTCCACTTCCTAATAAAGCAAAAACATTTCAAAATAAAGCACAATATTTGCCAAGACTGTGAAAGTCCAGATCCTGCTGCAGACCGCGCAGCTCTCTGTGTAAAGTACACACTGCAGTACACACAGTGTGTACTAGCATATATATGATCTGTGAAACGCAGTGAAACTGACAGGCCTCTGACCTCCAGCACACCTTCACAACAACAACAACAACAAGAGTCACAGGTGAGTTTTGGTTTGTCGTGTATGAGCGTGAAGCGTCAACACTTTGCGGGTGAAATTAATCTCTCCTGCGCTCCTGACAAAGGTTTAAAACACAAACTAATATTCACAGGTGGAGAAAGAAAATAGTTTAAATCGCTGCACCGTCTCTCTCTCTCTCTCTCTCTCTCTCCCCCCTCGTGACCTTTCCGATAGAAACACAAACAAACGTGTGATTTCACAATTTGTACAGTAGGTAAACCGTCGTGTTGCTCTGCTTTTATCTCTGACTTGTTATCGGTGTCTTCAGCTGCTGATTGTGAAGTCAGCTGTGCAACAGAGGCACTAATACTTGATATTTAAGCGAAATAACTTGATGCGCGTCCAAAGGGACTTAACAAATATCCTGAACGTGAGAGCGGGGAGTGTTTAATCTTTGTACAACAAAACCAAACGAAGGAAAACAATGAAATGTGACAGCAAACAGCTGCAGCCCGACTTCTTCTCCACACGGGATTCAAACCTGCGTCGTCCTGTGACGCCCAGCACAAACACAACCCGCTGACTCCGGTTTCATTGTGTCTACAGATAAATTAGCTCACCTTCTCCTGAACAAATACATTCACATCAAATAAACCTTAAATATCTGGATCATTAAAGTCAGACCAGCCTGAGGAGCATCTTTTTCTATAGTTACTGATTCATGAAGCACGTAGTTCAGTTCTGAGGTTTGTAGATGAGGAGTTTGTGAATGTACAGCAGACACCACAACTCTCTCTGAGGAGGATTAAAACCTTTTGGGGATTTTACAACATTAACATTGAATTTAAACTGGCTGCTTCTTACAAACGGTTACAGGAACAGTTTGGATTATTAGCTTCCTTTGCGTTGCCATTTTTCATGTGACATTATTAACGACGACGCTCTTGGACTGAGATTTCAAACACTCTCCAAAATCCACAGATAAATCGATTGATTTCCGCTCGATCTACAGGCTTAAAGCATCGACTCCAGGATTCAAATTCTCAGAGTTTAACTTGTTTTGTGTGTGGTGAGATATAGATATAATTCGATATTATCAGACTGTATTAAGTTGTATGTAGAAACGCACGTTAGTCAGACCACTCTGGGTCCTGGTTTTGGGGGTACTTTGGTTCTGCACGTCCTTCGTCTCCTTCTTAATATTTATTAGGGAGCTGATCTCAAATGCTGCAGGTCAGAATTAGGACTTCTGCTCAGTTTGATTAGAGCTTCTGCTCGTTATTTTAAACACGCTGGAGCTCCAGATTTAAAAGGTGAACGAGTCTCTGATCGTTTAAAAGGTAGTTTGGAAAGAGAACTTCCTGTGGGACGAGTTCCCTTTTCTCACACTGTTGCAGCATCTCTTTGTTTTTTATTCGTTATATATCTTCTAGGGACGTTTCCTGCGGTGCAGCGCCCACATGACGAGGAGACCGACCTGTTGCCACGTTCGAAGCTCTAACTTGAAAATCTAAATGCCAACACATGCGTGAGGAAGTAAGTGGTGGGTGATTTATGATTTTTAAATATAAAAGCCGATCAGGAAAACTGTCAGAGTTAAAGATATCGGACGTGATGCGACTCGATCAGGTAACAATCACCGACCAATAACCAGATTATCTGATGGATTAAATGACAAACAGGCAGCTGCAGCCTGCAGGACACTTCTACAGATTCTCAGAATAAAAACAAATCAAATGTTGAACGAGTTGGTTTGTGAACGCAGCCTGTCAGTGCTGATATTTCACACGCTGTTAAACTCCTAATATTTACATCATGTCAAACTTTATTCACCTAAAATTGTGATTCCACAGCCAGTCACTCTGTCTCTGCTATTATCGTCCTACATCTGACCGTCCTGGAGGAGGACAGATGGTGTCTAACCATGAATAACCTGCAAAGCCCTCTAAGGCAAATTTGTGATATTTGATTTTGGGGTTTTTGACACGTGTGATTCAGACGGACGTCTTCGCTCAGTAACGTTGAGGGTTTCATTGTTTATCTTCCTTTATGAATCACACCACAAATTATGCAGCTTCTTTTCCTCCGAAACAGAGAAACAGATAAGATGGACGACGGCATCTAAAAATAAAAAAGAAATCACCTCTGCACACCCGACAAATCTATTCCGACGCCTCGCCGTGTCTTATTTAAACAGTCACACTTCATTTAAGGGCAGATTTACAGGTTGTGAAGGAGAGATTCTGCAGCAGAGAGAGAGCTGACACACCGACACACTCCTTTCCACCTTCTTAAATCAGATTCACAGACTCACTGAGGACAAAACCAGACTTTTTTGGAGGCAAGTTTGGTTCATTTACATTAAATTTCAGCCTCAAACCTTAAACACACGGCTGGGTTTTATTTGTTTTCTTCTTGTTTGTTCTATAGATGCAAGTTTTTAAATAAAACTTCCCACTGACTTTGTTTGGTGAAACACACTAGAGTGTAACACAGACTATATATTTATATATATTTATCTATAATCTACTGTACATGCAGATCTATTTCCTCAGCTGCACTTCACACTGTTACTGCTGCACATCAAGCAGACAAAACAACAACTGTCTGCGTTCAGACTCGAGCTGAAAGGAAGAGCCGATTAATCGATTAGATGATCGACAGAAATTTTTGATAACTGATTCATAAATTAAGTCTCCGGCTTCCTCAAATATAACAACTTGCAGCTTTTTCTAGCTGTCTTCTATGAAAGTTAACATCTTTGGACAAAACAAAACATCTGAATATGTCAACTTGGACTTTGGGAAACTGTGAAGGATGGATTTTTTTTTTACAGTTTGATGAATTTCTAAATAACCAATTAATCAAGACATGAATCCGTAAATTAAACAATAATGAAAATAATGTTTAGCTACAGGAAATTTAGATTCTGTTTGTTGTTGTTGTTTAGTTGTAAATATAATCTTCATACATTGTCTGTTTCTGTCTTCTATCAACATCTCTGGACAATAAAGTTGGCGGCTGAATTTTGGATTTTAATGTCTTTTCATGCAGAATAAAAAATGTGTTTTAATAAGAAACTTTTGAAAAATTTACACACAAAATTCAGCTTTGTTTAAAAAAAGGTTTAAATTTAACTTTCTTTTTTGTTGCTGCTAAAAAGAAAAAAGGTTATGTCTGCACTGAATTCCTACAGATACAATTTAAATCAGCAGAGAAATCATGAGAACATGTTGAAGTTTGGGGGTTTTGGAGGTGATGGATGTGGTTTTGTGTTCAGGTGATTTAAACCTGCATTGATCTATCTGAGTAAAGCGGTCAGATTTCACTTCAGCTCACCTGTTTCTCCCTGAGACACTTCAGACCCTCAAAACACGCGTTATAAACACATTTCACCCCGAAAAAATAAAAAACTCTGGAGGGAAGAAGAATATTTGTGTTATTTTACTGTTAAAATTAAGATACTGATTTTGGGGATTTATTGATAATAGGTTGCCGACCTCCCGAAATGAATATTTCTTCAACTCTGGGAGGCTTTAAGAGCTTTTTCTATTGAATGAACAAACGCTGAAATGGATGAATTGCACGGTGAATCTCGGTGAGTCAGGTGTGAGCCGGGCTGTTTGTATCACAGGAGGTCAAACGTTAAGTTATTTTATCCTGCATGTGAAAAGCTGCAGAAGCCTTTAATTCAACCTGTGACCCAGTTAAATTTGGCTTTATTTCCTCCCCGAGTTGGCTCATAAATAAAAAATCGCTTAAATTCACGTATTTGAAATTCCACCCAGCAAACATAGAATTTGTAAACTAAGATGTTTGTGGATGAGATTAAAACGCTGTGATTTTAATTAAATAGTCGTGTGAAATGTCTTATAATTATCTTCTAAATAATCTTTAAATGTTGGTCGAGGATCCCGGGGAACAGAGGCGCACGGAGGCGGCGGCAGCTCCGCGCTCCTCCCGCCGCCTCCGTGCGCCTCTCTGCGCGCAGCACCAAGCCGCGTGTCGGATTTGTTTGAACAACGGATCGGAGCATAACAAACTTAACATTATTTCAACGTGAGTTTTTGATTTTATGGACACAAAGAAGCGGGAAAGCAATTTGGCGGGCGTCTCCGCTCGCACCGGGCAGCTGGTGAGCCTGAATCCGCCGCAGAGACAGAGGGAAACGGCACGGTGAGGCTACCGCTCAGCGCTGGAACCATTTACCCTGCTGGTTCAAATTACTGAGAAACAGAAGATGGAGTGACTGACATGATTTTTATATTCTTTCTCCAAATAAATGTGACTTGTTCTGAATCATAAACGGAACCGGTCATGTTTTTAAAAGTAAAACCAAGCAGCCACGCGCTCTCCCAAAATGTCCAGCTAATGCAGTTTAGACTGGAAGTTTTCTGTTTTAGTTATTTTATCCTTTTCCAGATTAAAAAACGGGAAAGCAGCGCACACACACATTCCGTCCTCTCTGCTTACTTTGTCTTACTTTCTGTAACTGCACTTGAACTCTCTCTGCAGTGTGTTTGACTTTAACTTTCTACTCGCCGTTTCTTTCTCGCCCTGCAGGCTGATCGGGAGCCTCCGTGCATGTTTCACAGGGATCCTGGAGGGTGCAAACATGACTTTCACCTTCACGCTGGAGTTTTCTAACTGTGGCAGTAATCTGCGGATTGGCGCCGCGGAGCAGAGAGATGAAAAGTTACATGATGGTTCGGGTGATGTTTTTACCTCTGGGCCGCTGTGTTGGCGTCCAAAATCCCTGCGCCCTGCATCCAGGAGCGGACCGGGGTCATGCCGGTGGGGAGCGGCTCCTCCTTCATGGTCAGGGCCCCCCGGGGGAGGCTGTCCTGGATGGAGAACATCAAAGTGTCCTTCTGGGAGCTTTGTCTTTACCAGAAACACGAAAGAAGAAGAATAATCCTCCCTGTACCAGCCACTCAAAAAAGCCAAAGGACCACCTGGATTAAGGTGGAGAAAAGAGGAGTGATGAGGAGGAGGAAGGAGGGGAGGAGGGACACACCAGCGAGCTTCCCCAAAGTACTGGGTCCTGATCCAGAAGAAGAGTCCCGGATCCCTCTGGGTTTCTCCGGGGTTGTTTTAGATCCCAGCCCGAGCTCGCAGCTGCCTGGGCTTTAAACGGCGTCTCTGTGAAGTTAAAAGAGGGCGGAGAGAGGAGCGGAGAGCGGGGAGAGCATCTCAGAGGAGCCGGGAGAGAGAGAGAGAGAGAGAGAGGGAGAGAGGGAGAGGTGGAGGAGAATCAGCCGGGATCCGGAGAGCTTGACGCCGGGAGAACGCAGCGCGGAGAGCCGGGGATCAGAGGGAGGCGAGCAGCCGCGGATTGTGGAGAAATGAAAAGTGGGATAAAAAACAAGCCACGGCTTCAAAAAGGAGTAAAATGAAATGATTAGCAAACAAGAGGGAGGGACGGACCGTGGAAGGCTGCTGCTCCCGGGGGAACAGGGGGATTGGGCAGCGAGAAATCTCATCCCCCTCCCTCCCCGGCTCTTTATGGCTCCTCTGTCCCGGCGGAGAGCTCCTTCTCCCGGGGTCCGGGGCTCTGGAGCTCCCGGGGGACCGACGTTGATCGAGAGAGGGCGGGGACACAACCAAATAAGGAAAGCTAATTTGAATATCGGTCGCACCTCTCCCGCCCCATTGGTCGAAGTGGCGCGTTGCGTCATTGTTTTTTCAAAAGACACTCCAAAAAAGGGTTTCCGCGTGTTCGGCCGCGCGCACTGTAAAAAATGAGGCTTAAATTCAAGTAGACTTTTTTTAAAACACGGGAGAATCTAATGAGATAAACACGTCTGACTGCTGTAGGTGCGAACAGACTCCACATTTAGACATTTTTTAAAACATGTTAATAAACAGACTGACAGGTGGAGTTTAGCAGGATGGAGGTGACTGATGATCTGTTCAATATTCAGTCCTGAAAGCTCCTTTTTAACGCCAGTGTGTGAGCGGGAATCTGCTCCTCTCTGCAGGAGCCACAGGCCACACTGACCGCTTTACGCATCACGTCAACACCAGAGTCCCTCAAACAAGTGTCACCACGCGGGCAGCTCCTGCCACTTCTGCTAAATAAATATTGGGAGCCCTTTGTGCCTGAATTAAATGAGTTGTTGAGGGTGACAGAAGGTTGAATCTCCTTTATTCAAACCTTCCCCGCACGTTGGTTTCCACTCGCAGAAAAAAAAAACGGCTCCAGATTTTATTTCAGCGGATACGAGACTGTAATACTGAAGCTCATCAGCAACAGAAATCAGTATTCACTTCCTCAAACCTCACAGACTCCTTCAGAGTTTTTGTGTGTGTGTGTGTGGGGGGGGGGGGGGGGGGGGGATTAACTGGTTTCATGTGGAATAATCTCCTCTGTCATCCCGTGTTCAGGCTGACTGACACAGGAGGCGCGCAAAGTTGGCACCAATTTGCGCTTTTTTACGCACGGACATATGGCGCTCTGACACACACACACACACACACACACACACACACACACACACACAGGGAAAGCCGCTAATAAGCTGTGTTTTATTTCACTGCTATAAAATATGTCTTTCATTCTATAATTTAGATTAAACAGAACGGGCCCGCAGCATCGATCCATACTAACAATAATAACAATAATAATAATTTTGTCTCTGATCGTCCCTCTTGATGTTTTTTGGGGGACTTCTGACATCTCCAGCAGTCATTTTTGTTCATTTTCGTGGCAGGAGCAGAATTCCTCTAATTAAGCGCAAACTCCAGAGCAGCGCTGATTAAATATTTATCCTCCTTTAGCCCGCTGCCTCCTTCCTCCAGGGAGACAGAAACGTCTGGAAAGCCTGGAAAAATATTTCTGCGCGCGGAGAGAAAAAGTCAATGAGACGCTGCAAACATGTTGGCGAAGAAGAGGAGGAGGAAGAAGATGAAGAGGGTCCGGATTAGAAACCAGACGGCTCGTCGCTCCATCCCCTGATGATAATTACAAATATTATTTTAGCATTTTAATTACTGTAATAATATGTCACGAGTAGTGACAGTTGGAATAAATACAATTACACTTGGTGCTGTTATTAAATTCGGTGCAGCAAATAAATTTAACACAAACAAGACTGAAGAGAAAAAAAACACGATTATTAGGAATTATTTTCATCTTCAGCAGAGGCCTGGATGGAAATGAGATGAATGGATTCCCTTTTTAAAATCAATTCATTTCATTTCATTTTATCGTCTTTGCTCCCGATTCTTCCTCCTGAAATCTCAAGTAATCCTGGAGTTCCTTAAGATTCTCTCTTGGAAAATCCTCCAGAACCCCTGAAACCAACTCAAGCTCCTGTAATAAGGGACCACATTAAGATACAAGTCTAAACCCGAGCCCTAAACCTCCTCTAGATCCCCTGGGGAACCTTAAGAATTTCCCTAAGACTCCCTGAGGTCTCCTGGAACTGTCCCAACTACTCCTGGAATAGATCCCGGTACCTCATGTCGAACGCTGGGAACACCTATGAAATATCTATTACTCCACCAACTTCCTTAAAGTCTTTAGAACCCACTAAAGAACCCTCAGATAAGAGCTCTCTGAACCGCTCCTAGAACCCTACAAATTCCCTGAACCTCCTTCAGATGCCCCCGGAAAACCCTGGAACCTACGCTGAACATCACAACGCCCCTGGAAATCCGTTAAAGCCCACTCAAGGACCCAGATGCCTCAGAGGGCTCTGTGGACCTCCCTCTTAGAACCCCCGACACCTCTTATGGATCCCACGAAGCTCCTTAAAAATGAACAGAACACCTTAAATCTCCTCAAGATTTAAGGTAAGCTGAAACTGACTTACAAAAACCCCCTACAGGATCTGGTACCGGAACCTCTTCCAGGACATCACACGACTCCTGGAACGTTCTCTAATCCTTGTGGAACCTCAAACAACAATTTAGATTTAAATGAGCGGGATATCCAACAAACACACACACAGTAAAAACACAGAAATGTAAATATTTCCTTTACATTTAAAGTGGTTCTAGCACCTGGAAAGGGTTCTGTGATTTCAGCAGAACCATCCAGAGAGGCTCTGGGAACCTTCAGGAACACATGACCCAGTGAAAAGCAGCAGCATCAGGTTCTTTCATTCAGATTCACCTGGTTCTGAAATATCTTTTCTATTTTAACTACATTAATTGTTCTGCTCTCGTTCTACACAGAAGAAACACAGATAGCACTTTTGTTCTGTTTCAGTGCTGCTGAAAATAAACTCTCATGTCCGTTTGAATAACTGCTGCAGTCTGAAGAGCTGGAGTGCGGGCGCAGGGCGCCACACAGAGGACAGAGCCGGGAACTGCAGGTCAGAGACTGCAGGTGGACTTTAGATCTTTATAACCTGATGAAAATAATAACACATCAGAAACATCAGCTGACCTACAAATGTTTGTTGTAAATAGATGTTTTTATTCAACCTGAGCATTTTAATCAGGTCTGTAATCAACAACAAACATGAAGAAAACACCTACACTTCAGACAGTTTAAGGTGGAAATTATTCTCCAAATACAGACACAAGGACAATACTGGACAATACGGACAAAAATGTTACCACAATAAAACATCTCATATCATTTAATATCAATAATCATCGGAATAAATGTCAAATCATTATTTCTTTCAGGTTTAAAGATTTTTGCTCCTGAGTGAAAGTTAACTTTGGTTTTAAACTTTTGGTAGGTGCTAAAATTGTGAATCACTTCACAAACCTGAGGCAGAACATTCAGAACTATTAATCTGTTTTCAACAAATATGCAGGAGGGAAATTCATTTTCAGTCCCTTTTCCTCAAAAAAATAAATATCTTAATAGAAAAATTAAGTGCTGATTTGTTCGTGATTCAATTTAAATAAATTAAACATTTGTTATTTTGTTATCAAGGAAAATTATATGACAAATAATTATCATTATTGCTTTATTGCCCAGCGTAATGTTGGCTGCTAACTAAATATATGTAAAGAGCAGCGCAGCTAACGATTATTTTCTTTATCAATTAACTCACAATCACAAATATATTCAGTTTCCTGTGATATATGAGCGCGTTGTCCCGACTTCAGATTAACTGAAACTATCAGTCGATCATCAGAACAGTGGCAGATTATCCTTCTGTCAATCCACCGATGTGCATTATTAAATTAAATCAGTAAGTGAGACGAGCTTCTTCACAGAGTTTAAATTCACTCATGAGACAAAAAACTCTTCTGTGCCTTCAACCACACCTCACTGTCTTCTTCATCTATAATCTTATCTATCCATCTATAATTTACTCTTAACCCACCTGTTATTATAGGACCAGTTTGCTGATGAAGACCATGAAATGTGGTTGAAAGTGGACCAAAACTGAGAAAAGCTCATCTGAAATCTTTATAGATTTTGAGGCAGCGATGCACCGATCAGCTGGTAAACACTCAGATAAGGTGATCTAAGAAATAAGGTGATGCATTCTTTAAAACATCTTCAGGTAAAATATAAAATATATCCCCCCATCATTGCTGTCATTCTGTGGGAAACACTGAGTCGTGTTATACTGCAATTTATTTGGAGGTTTATTTGTGCGGAGAGCTCCGTCCAGCAGCCTGACCTGGAGCACTTTTTATTTTGTGTCGTAGAGGACATCCTGTAACCTGCAGCAGCTTTGGGAGAAAATCTTTTATAGTCTGTGTTTTAAAATGAACATACAGCTGAATGGACCCCAAAGGAAAACGGGTGCTGATGAGGATCCTCATAAAGAAATAATTCACCACTAAAGAAAAGCTGTCAGTTAAAGTTCTTGGAAAGAAAGAAAACAGGAAAAATGCAATCGGTGAATCTCTATTTTTAGGACTCATTAATGGCAGAATGAATTTTATTAAGTGAACCTTGAGTGGAGATTATTCTGAATAATGAACTTCAGCGCTCAAAGCCAAATAAACCGGTTTCCTGAATCAACAAACAGAAAGTGGTCCAGAGAACAGCGAATCCCCCAGAGGCTGATTTATTTATAGTCTTGGTTTAAAGAGGAATAAAAGACGGCGGGCAAGAAACCGCTGATTTCCCACATCAAACGTGCACAATGTTAAAGAAACAAACAGGGACGACTGATCTTCTTATTGCCAAGCGCCGCCGCAGCCACGCCTGCCGCCGTCGTTCCTTCTCAGTGTTCGCTCACATTTTGGCCGTTGTTACAGTATCTCACAAAAGTGAGTACAGGAATGTTGAACTTCCAGTGACCAGTATGAGAGTGAGAGCGACAACTCTATCACACCTGCTCCCCATTCACACCTGAGACCTTGTAACACTAACGAGTCACATGACACCGGGCTAATTGGGCCCAATTTGGACATTTTCACTTAGGGGTGTCCTCACTTTTGGTGCCAGCGGTTTAGAC